GTGTGAGTTGGGTTTCGTGAAAAACAAAAAGCAAAAACGTGAAAAGGTGCGTGACATCTCCTCTACGTGTTTTCACTCAGTCAAAACACACAAGCTTCCCCAGAAACGGGCCCAGGGGAGCAGTTTCTTTGTTTAATTGAATCCTGAGAGTTCAGAATGTCATGTGAGGGAGGAGAGGGAGAGGGGTGGGGGAAGGGAGAGGGTAGAGGGGGAGGGGTGAGAGAGGGGGAGAGGGAGGGGGAAGAGCAGGAGGGGAGGGAAGGGAGGAGTGAGGACAGAGAAGGGTTGTAGGGATGCTGGCTCATGTGTGCAGAATTCTCGGGACAGACCCTTGCACCTGCAACCACGTGGCAGCCATTTCTTACTGGTCCACGCCTCTCACACAGGACTCTTGTAGCCAGACGGGCTCCAGAATAAGTTGGATGTTAGAAAGGTAACACGGGCCTATGTCGTGAAACGCTGCCAGCAGGTATTTACTCAGGGTGTCAATATTCACATGAACTGCGATCCCCTCTTCTTCATACGTTTGTCACCAGACGGTCAGGGGCTTTTATTATTAGTCCCATTACTTAGCCCCTCTGAGCTCAATTTTCTCACCCACCAAGTGGGGACGAGAGGCAAGGCACTGAACAAATGGCCAGAAGCATGCCCATGTTTCCTGGGAATGGAGCAGGATGCTGGGAAGTCCCGCCCCGTCCCCCCAACTCCCGCCTCGGTCCCCCCAGTAAGGGCTTCCCACCGAGCGGAGCTGCGGCCTTCCTACCTTCTTCGGGCCCCAGCCGCACCGTATGGGATTCGTGCAGGATCTCCGCCACCGGCCTACGGGTGTAGAGAATGGTGGCGCCGCTCAGGTTGACTCGGACCCTCTGGGCCCGGGAGGTGAGGTTGGCCAAGCACAGGGCCAGTCTCAGGTCGTGGCCCAGCATGGGCAGCTCCAGCATCTTGAACTTGCCGGTGATGCTGGGCTTGGTGGCGGGCTCCAGGAGGTCCTCCCGCCAAAGACCACGGCCGCCGGCCCTGCGGACCCGGCTCCTCCTCCCGGAGGCTTCCACACCGAACAGCTTCCTCACGGCCTTGTGGTACACCTGCCTCTCCTTCCGGGATCCTGCAGGCATCGTGCAAGGTGAGGCGGGCACCCCTCTCCTCCTC